CCAAGCAGATGGTCAGTTTAGATTTCGCAACATGAATTGCATGGGGCATTTTTTTTTATTCACTGTGCACTCTCAATGCACAGACCCATTTTCTCATACCTAGGCCAAAAATTACCTCCTGTAGCTTAGGAGTAGTAGTAGTAGAACAGTAGTAATAGTACAGTAGTAGTAGTACAGTAGTAGTAGTACAGTAGTAGTAATAGTACAGTAGTAATAGTACAGTAGTAGTAGTACAGTAGTAGTAGTAGTAGTAGTAGTACAGTAGTAGTAGTAGTAGTACAGTAGTAGTAGTAGTAGTACAGTAGTAGTACAGTAGTAGTACAGTAGTAGTAGTAGTAGTACAGTAGTAGTAGTAATAGTACAGTAGTAGTAGTAGTACAGTAGTAGTAGTAGTAGTACAGTAGTAGTAGTAGTAGTACAGTAGTAGTAGTAGTAGTAGTACAGTAGTAGTAGTAGTAGTACAGTAGTAGTAGTAGTCAGTCAGTAGTAGTAGTAGTACAGTAGTAGTAGTAGTAGTACAGTAGTAGTAGTAGTACAGTAGTAGTAGTAGTACAGTAGGTAGTAGTAGTAGTACAGTAGTAGTAGTAGTACAGTAGTAGTACAGTAGTAGTAGTACAGTAGTACACTCTTCAGGTCACTTGTTCTATCTAGGCTGGAATATTGCTGTACACTAACAGCACCTTTCAAGGCAGGTGAAATTGCTGACCTAGAAAATGTACAGAGAACCTTCACGGCGTGCATAACGGAGATAAAACACCCCAATTACTGGGAGCGCTTGAGGTTCCTAAACCTGTATTCCCTGGAACGCAGGTGGGAGAGAGACATGATTATATACACCTGGAAAATCCTAGAGGGACTAGTACCCAACTTGCACACGAAAATCACTCACTACGAAAGCAAAAGACTTGGCAGACGATGCAACATCCCCCAATGAAAAGCAGGGGTGTCACTAGCACGTTAAGAGACCATACAATAAGTGTCAGGGGCCCGAGACTGTTCAACTGCCTCCCAGCATACATAAGGGAGATTACCAACAGACCCCTGGCAGTCTTCAAGCTGGCACTGGACAAGCACCTAAAGTCGGTTCCTGACCAGCCGGGCTGTGGCTCGTACGTTGGTTTGCATGCAGCCAGCAGTAACAGCTTGGTTGATCAAGCTCTGATCCACCAGGAGGCCTGGTCACAGACCGGGCCGCGGGGGCGTTGACCCCCGGAACTCTCTCCAGGTAAACTCCAGGTAGTAGTAGTACAGTAGTAGTAACTAGCAGTAATAGTGACTAGTAGTAGTAGTAACTAGCAGTAATAGTGACTAGTAGTAGTAATAATAGTGACAGTAGTACAGTACTGTAGTAGTAATAGTTGTAGTAGTAATTGTTGTTGTAATAGTTGTTGTAGTAGTAGTGACAGTACTAGTAGTAGTCATAGAATTAGCAGCAGCAGCACTCAGAGTAATATTAGAAAGTGTAATATTTAAATTAATATTATTAGTGTTGAAAAAAATAATAATTACTGTAATAATTTGGGATTTTGTTATTTTTGAGTGGCTGTTCTTTCAAGATATTCACAGGCACTTGCACACCAAGCTATAAATAAAACATCAATGAAGAAATACTGAAGTTCATATTGAAGAGTGGCAGTGTGATCATCAGGAGCTAAAGCTCTAGAAGGTTTGGACTTTTAGCAAAGTGGGAAAGCATGACCAAATTCCTGACTAACAGACACTGGCAACCTGTTGAATAATTTAAGAGGGGAAAAACCTGTTGAACAATTTAGGGAGAGGATAAAAGAGGTTTTGTGTGCAAGGGGCATACAGCAGACAAATGAGAGTATGTTAGATAGTAGTGAATGGAGTCTAATGGTTTTTGGGACCTGATGAGCTGTTGGAGTGTAAGCAGGATAATATTTTGTGAAGGGATTCAGGGAAACTGGTTAGCTAGACTCAAGTTCTGAAGGTGGGAAGCACAATGCCTGTACTTTAAAGGAGGGGCTTGGGATATTGGCCGTTTAGCGACATTTAAACTGTCGTATCTGTGCACCTCTGCAAAGGCAGTGATTATGTGTGGATGACTGTGAAAGTATTTTTTTTTTTTTTTTTTTTGAGTCGCCCTGCCTTGGTGGGAAACAGCCGATGTATTAGTGGGGGAAGGGGGAATGATTTCTCACCAACACCATGAGGCTTAATCACACAAAGGATTCATGGCAGTTTGTAGCAAGATACTGCATCATTAATTAAGCTTAATATTAATAAACAATTTAAATTCAATTCTTGCCTTAAAAGAAAGCCAATGCAACTCATACAAATAGGAACTAGTGCAAACCCAAGTGGGAACAAAAGAATGACAGTCTAGCTGTAAGATTCAATACAGACTAGCCTTTTTACCAAGTAGTTAGGCAAACCCACAAACAATTGAGAAAAAAAATAAATTAAGGAGAGTAAATTATATCAAGACAGTAGAGATGAACAGTAGAACACTAACACCTGTCCCCAAGGGGTAGATGAGCATTGACCTATGCTACAAAAGAAAAAAATTAAGAAAGGGGAAAGTCTGAAAAGAAAATCAAATGAAATACAGAAGACAGGTCAAGAGAAAAGGCAGCAGCAGCAACAAAGGTCAAGTCAAATCATGAGTGTTCAGAAGATTAGAGTTTGACAATGTATGTATTGAGAATAGCATCTCTACAAAAACAAAGCCAGGACTACGATTTTAATGTCTGGAATATTGTGATTGTTTTATATATAAATGACAGAGGGTATTAACATCTGTTAGACCGGAAATGTAGGGAATGCAAAGCACACGAGTTTTCACAGGAGAAGCAAGTTTGGAAGACAAGTCTGTTTAGTATGAGGGTAGGCAGTTTATGAAATTGGGAGGATAGCCACAGCAAGAGAATGACCTGTGAAGAAAAATCTAGGGTCACAAATAAGGAGGGAATAGAGACAGATAAAACTTTTCTTGACAGGAGCAGCATGGTGAGGAAAGTAGTTAATGCACATGTCACTGTACAGACTTGTCATAACAGAAAAAGGAAAGTGTCACAGAGGAGGGCATGAATATCAAGGAAAGGAAGCAATGAATTATATTCCCATTCAAGGTTGGAAGAGTAGTCATGTGGCCAGAGAGCAAAGACATCTATAGAGCAAAGCTGCTCTCTTTCTGACAGAGCACAAGTGTTCCCCTTCCCTACACTAACATTGCTCTTTTCTGTCACGTTATAGCTCACAGTCATACTATTAACTGGTTCTCTGCTAAAATTATTTGCCCTTCTAGTCGAATCATCCCTTATACACACCATTCTAAACATGAATCTTAGTCCTGCCTTTCTCAATACATTGTCAAATGCTTTAATTTTCACAACACATGACTTGACTTGACCTTTGCTGCCTCCTCTTCTTTCCTCCTGACCTGTCTTCTGTATTTTCTTTGCTTTTCCTGACTTTGACTTTCTTTCTTGATTCCCTTTCTTTCATAGCATGATTTCCACTGCTGCAAGATTAATTTACTCTCCTTACTTTGCTGCCCAGCATGGGGCCAGTAGATCTCCTGCAGTTCTTGTTTTTTTTTTTTCTACCACTACTACTACTACTACTACTACTACTGTTACTACATCCTTACTGCAACTACCAATGCAGCTGCCCCCTCCCTCCTGCTACCACCATAACTTTCTAATCCCTCCCAACCTGTCTTCGGGGGTCTTTTCTGCTTTTTCTTGCTTAGTTGTGACTTGACAATGGTCCACAAGGGACTGAAGTGTCATTGCAAGTTACCTTTCCCTAAAAGGTATTACCAGGTTACTGGTAATACCTCTTATTCTTGCCTCTCAATTGGAAATGAATTGTCAAGTCCAAGAGTAAAGTGTAGGGGTTACAATTCTTTGAATCAAACATACTGTATATAATAATTAACCCTTTCAGGGTCCGTCCCGTAGATCTACGGCTTTATGGTGAGTGTCCAAACCGTAGATCTACGCCATGAGCTCAGCTCACTCTGATAAACTGTGAGTGGTACATTTGGGCCTAGATATGAGAGAATACATCTATGTGGTATGTGTGCACCACATAAAACAGATCCTGCAGCACACTGTGTATAATGAGAGAAAAAAACTGAAATCATGATTTTTTGATTAAAACAGCAACTTTGCAGTGTTTTTTCGTATGTTTTTTATAGTTGTATTTGCGATTTCTTGGTCTCATTTGATAGAATGGAAGACATATTACAGAAATAGAGATGATTTTGATTGGTTTTAGCACTGGAAATGGCTTGAAACTGAGCTCAAAGTAGCGGAAATGTTAAATTTTTCCCGATATTCAAGAGTAAACAAACGACCTCACACGTCTAATACACGTCAGCTGGTGGGTCTAATATACATTCACAAATATGGTGATGATATTTATACAATTATTACAGTATTGCATAGCAGTAAATCTTCTATTTTTTGGTGTGAATAAAAATTCATTATGTGAATAAAAAATCAAAATGGAATTTATTTGTAAAGCCTCAAAACATGACTAATGAACAGAGGAAATGTTAGTTTAGTGCCAGGAATGCCTACATTGTTTATTCTGGACCCTATTTTGAAATTGGAATATTTTGAACTTTGTGTTAAATTGGCCAAATTAACAATTTCCGATCACTATTTTGTAGTTGAAACAGTTGACTTGGCGATTTCTTGTGCTCAATCGATAGAATAGAAGTAATACTAGTAAAATAGCTAATAATTTGGTTGATGGGAATAATGTAATTGGCCTAAAATGGGAGTCAAAGTCGGCAAAATCGCCGATTCGTAAATATCGCTGACACATCAAAATTCGCGAGAGCATAATTTCGTCAATTTTCCACCAAATTTCGTACTTTTTGTTTTATTACCTTCACAAAAAGATTCTCTACGATTTCATAAGAAAAAAATAACAAATTTTTTTTTTTGAAAATTCTTGGACACTGGTGCGTGACTCCAGATTTGGGCCTTGGACCCTGAAAGGGTTAACAGATAACAGGTACATACCTCACTGCCCATTTATGTACTGGGAGATTCCAAAGTCTCCAGAATGTTCCCACATCCTTTGCATTCCACCAATCTTGGTAAAAGTCACGATCAGCAAAGTAAAGCAGCTCAGCAAGTGTATTGAGGAATGAGTGGAAGCACAGATAAAACCAACTAAGCCACAATATATGGTTGGGAATCTAGATATAAAATAAAGAAGAAAAAATATAAATATATTCATTATGTAACACATTTATTACTTATTATAATGTAATATGTAGAAATTTATTTACTAAGATACTCATTCACTGAAGAGTGCTAAACCCATAAGGGTCAGTGAGAAGAAAGAGAAGTAATCAGGGTCTGATCCAAGGAAGAGGATAAAAGCTAAAAAATTTAGATCAGCACACCCTTCACCAGCCTCCTATCTGTGCTCCAGTTCCCCAAATTAAGCCTGAATGCCTTCCACATCCCCCCCCCCCAGGCGCTGTATAATCCTCCGGGTTTAGCGCTTCCCCCTTGATTATAATAATAATAATTCACCAGCCTCCAAGTACCTCAATTGAAACTGAAAAATTATATGGTATACATTAAATCTATTATTTTGCATCCAACATTATCCAGCAAAAAGTTGGATAATCTGATTGCCCAAAACTACCTTAGTCCTAGGGTCAGTCACTACAGGACCCACAAGCAATTTAACAAAACAGCCTGTATTCTAATGCATTAATGAGTATCCTTTCTTTTTGATAATAATAATAATGAGTATCCTAGAACAAAAAATAAATTTTTAACCCCTTAAGCCTTTTACTCACGTTAACCTGTCTTACAAAAATAAATTTGATACTTAACCCGTAAACGATCCAAACGTATATATACGTTCACTACCCCAGTGCCCCGAATATTTTGAAAAATAAAAAATCTTTTTTTTCTATTTAAAGAAAGAGCACATTTTTCTAAGTGTTACAGGATAAAAAAAAAATTTTTTAGGGTCAGTACTTACCGAGATACGAAGTCGCAAAGTTGGAACTTGGAGATCACCTGGCGGCAACATGGAGTGCTGCCGCTTGCAGAAGTGTTGCCGATATATCTTTTTCATTGTTCATATTATATAATTTTTATTTTCTGATAATTACAATTTATAGTAGTTCTTGTCATTTCATAATTAATCTTTGTTCTGACACTAGTATTAGGTACTGAAATTGTACTCACATTGTCACAAACACATTGACAGGTGGACATTTACACCTGCCTTGGTCATTTACTATTGTCTTGGAATATATACGAAGTATTTAAATGTCCCAGCAATGTTTTGGATATGTGGAAGTGTATAATAATGAGGAGGAGGAGGAGGAGGAGGAGGAGAATATGTAATAATAATAAAATAATAAGTTCCCTTGAAGCATGAAAAACAAAGTCCACCCCTGACAGTGACGTGAAGAGATAACATTTGATAAGAGCTGACGTTTGATGAGCAATGGCAAGGGTGCCGTGATAAGACTTGATAAGAAAAGATTAGGGCCCGCTTTGTTTTCGCTGGCACACAAACATGTCTGCTTGTCTGTCAAGCTCCCTGTCTAGCTCTCTGTCTCAGAGAGCCACAAGACTGGGTCATCACGTTTACTCATATCTTCAAGCAGAGTATAGCGCTTTGTCTGGATTTTTTGGGTTATCCTAGGTAATTTACACTATGTATACTTGTATTTATGTGTACCTGTGAGACAGATACAGACAAATGGAGAGCCGGAGAGCCAGCCAGCCAGAATTGTTTCTCTTTACTTAGGGCAAAGGTTATAAGACTTTCTGAAAGGGTGTTGCACAAATATTGCACATGGGTTATTATCGAGGTTTTTTTGATATTTTCTCTACCACTTTTGGCCACATCCACCTCAAAGCCACTAAACTGATGGTCAAAATCACTTTCCTCTTAAAATGGGAGTGTTAATACTACATGACATCAGTTAATCAAAGGTGTTTGCTGTGCTGTTTGCTCTGGCTGGTGCTCATTTGAACTGGTGTTCCCACAAGGTACTAAGTGGTCCCAGATTTTTTTTAATACCATGCACACTGAGCGTTAGAACCCATTTTATGCTGACAAGGCATCTCAGGTCAATTGTGCCAAATTTGAAGGCAGGAAAAATAAAACGTATACGTTTGGGGCACTAGCGGTAAAAACGTATATGTTTGGACCGTTTACGGGTTAAAAATAGCCAATTTTTTCTTTTTGTATGGGCTGGATTTATAGCGAGTCATTTTTCTAACATTAATTGCTTATTTAATATGTACATGAAAATTATTTTAGCATGCATGTGCCATGTTTCTATTTAATTTTTTGGGAGGGCTTAGAACTCAGGGCAGATATAATTATGCAGTCACTAGTGACAGTCCTCAGTCAGATCAACAGAGTAAAAAAAAAAGTCACTAGGTCCTGATGAACTGCTTTCAAGGGTTTTAAAAGGAATGTAAAGAGGTGCTTAGCAAAGCATTAGCCAGTTTATTCAGTAAATCACTACAAATGGGTACTGTACCAGTAAAAAAATGGCGAATGTGATTACCCATTTATAAAGGAGGAGAGATGTCTAGCTTCTATTAACAGACAAATCAACTTACTTCAATCATGGGAAAATTGATGGAATCAATAACTGCAGATGCATTATTATTATAATCAAAAAGAAGCACTAAGCCACAAGGGCACTGCAGATGCAATTCAAAGCAAGTTTAAAGATATAATTTTGATCAGTGAATTTCAGCATGGTTTTACAAAGAGGCCTTTTAATCTACTAACCCTATTTTTCTAAGTTTACTGAGGTGCTAGACCATGATAAAGAATAAAATACAGTGGAACCTCAGTTTTCATATGCCCTAGTTTGTATATAAAACTATGTATATTCTTTTTCCCCTCTCTCTCAACAAGTCAGCCGTCTCCCACCAAGGCAGGGTGACCCAAAAAGAAAATACTTTCATCATTCAACACTTGCCTCACTCATACATAATCATGGTCTTTGCAGAGGTGCCCAGATACAACAGTTTAGAAGCATATATAAAGACATATAACATATCCCTCCAAACTGCCAATATCCCAAACCCATCCTTTAAAGTGCAGGCATTGTACTTCTCATTTCCAGTACTCAAGTCTGGTTATATAAATATAACCAGTTTCCCTGAATCCCTTCACTAAATATTACCCTACTCTCACTCCAACAGCTCATCATGTCCCAAAAACCATTCATCTCCATTCACTCCTATCTAATACACTCATGCACACTTGCTAGAAGTCCAAGCCCCTTGCCCACAAAACCTCCTTTACCCCCTCCCTCCAACCTTTTTGAGGATGACCCCTACCCCGCCTTCCTTTCCCTACAGATTTATACGCTCTCCATGCCATTCTATTTTGATCCACTCTCTCTCTAAATGACCAAACCACCTTAACAACCCCTCTTCAGCCCTCTGACTAATACTTTTATTAATGCCACACCTCCTAATTTCCACACTCTGAATTCTCTGCATAATATTTACACCACACATTGCCCTTAGACAGGACATCTCCACTGCCTCCAGCCGCTTCCTCAATGTAGCATTTACAACCCAAGCTTCACACCCATACGAGTGTGTTGGTACCATTATACTTTCATACGTTCCCTTCTTTGCCTCCATGGATAATTTTCGTCTCCACATACCTCAACGCACCACTCACCTTTTTCCCTTGATCAATTCTATATGAACTGAATAACAGGTCTCCATTGTGATTTTCTCCAGTTTTTGTAAACTGTTGCCTATCCATCAGCCATGTTTCAATTCAGGGGATAACTTCTATTCCATGAGCCACTACCTTTAACAATCATCTGATGGAACTATTAAAGACCCTACTAAGGTCCATTTACACAGTACAGTGGAACCTCGGTTTTCGTATGCCCTTGTTTGTATGTAAAACTACAGTTATTCTCTATAAAATGTATTTTTGTTAATATTTCCCATAAAAAATAATGTAAATATAATTAATCCATTCCAGACACCCAAAAATATTAACAAAAAACACATTTTACAGAGTATAACTATAGTTTTACATAAACAAGGGCATACAAAAACTGACATTCCACTGTACTGTGTAAATGGACCTTAGTAGGGCCTTTAATAGTTCCATCAGATGATAAAGGTAGTGGCTCATGGAATAGGAGAAATTATCCCCTGAATTGAAACATGGCTGAGGGATAGGCAACAGTTTACAAAAACTGGAAAAAATCAGAATGAAGACCAGTTACAATCAGAGCTTATATCCTACTTAAAAAGACAACAGCACAGTCATGAATTAAATTAGGTGTTCCCACAGGTAACATTCTGGGCCCTCTTCTCTACCTCCTCTATATAATGGCATACCAAATGCCACACAGCATCTTAAGCCAGAATGTACTCTTTGCTGATGATACATTTATAATGCTCTGATCCCCTGACTTTTTGATACATTAAAAAGAAGGTCCACACCTAGATGGTAGAAAAATCACCCTTATAGAAAAAAAAAAATTCTATACAACTGGAAATCAACTATACCCACATTTTTTTTTTTTTATTAACACATCAGCCATTTCCCACCAAGGCAGGGTGGCCCGAAAAAGAAACTTTCATCATTATTCACTCCATTACCATCTTGCCAGAGGTGTGCTCACACTACAGTTATAAAACTTAAACATTAACATCCCCTCCTTCAGAATGCAGGCATTGTACTTCCCATCTCTAGGGCTCAAGTCTGGCCTGCTGGTTTCCCTAAATCCCTACATAAATGTTACCTTGCTCACACTCTAACAGCACAATAAGACATCAAAATTAATGAATCTAATACCTCCACCTTCCCATTTAACATCTCTCACTTTTAACTGTAAAGTTTTTGCTTCCCAGACTTTCTCAACTTTGTATTCTCTCTTAGGGATGTTCAGCACTCAGGCTGCTTAAATCTTGTCACTAAAGGTAAATTAGTGTGGGGGGATAACAGGGGAGAAAAATGTTAAGGTGATTTCAGCACTATGAAAACAGACCAACAACTGGCCACATCAGTCAAAATCACACCTTCAGTCACCCTGTTGTTTGTGATGGAGTATACAAGCTCATGCTGTGTTCCTTTAAGATTTGATAACACTCGCACTTGGCTAAAAGGTGTTCAATAAATACTTTTTCCAAGTTTTGGCTTTACCCATCATCTAATGACAGGGTTCCTCTTTCTACAAATGTACTTACCGCCAACTTTAAGAGACGTTCAGCACACCGCATATAGTCAAGGTCCTTTAAATGAAAATGGAATTCCTTTTAGTGTTAAATCAGTCTTACATAGGTGATAACAGTTCATTAAAAAATCACCGTTTAGTTATAATAAGGAAGAAAAAGTTCTGTTAAAAACTGTCAAGATTCTTATATTGTATAATACCTGTTTAACTCATAAATCCCAACCACATCTTAGGTCTGCACAATCATGCATATTTCACCTAACTGTACAGTGAAACCTTGGTTAAACAGTTAGGGAAGAGTTGTTTAATACAGACTGTCCATTACATCTGAATAATGAGAGTATTTTTCCAGGAACAAAATTAACAATTCTGGAAACAACAGACTTTGTCCTTTGCATTTGAAATTGATTTACCCAGCAAACTAATAATAATGGACAATTTAGGAAACTAGGGACTTTGCCCATTCAGATTTTTCCTGTTAAATTTTGAATCTGTCAAATTGAGATCTGTTAAATCAAGGCTTTAATTGCAACTGCCCCATTGTGGCAATTGCTGTGGTTTCTTGTACCAGCTTTCCACTACCTACAAGTTTGAGTGAAACCATACAACAACTCCAAGTAATTTGATGCAATGCATAATCATTTTTATTTCGTTTAGTAAATATATCATCTTAACCCTTTCACTGTCAACATCCCTTGTGTTGTCATTAAAAATAATTTATCTTCGAAAACAGAGAATCTTTTCCCAAAGGTAATAACATTAAAAATGTACAGTTTTATGTACAGTACTTATGGAATTACACACACAAAATTTTAGAGCACTTTACGCAACCAATTTCACCCATTTTGAGACCTGTTGTAAGTGCCAATTCCACTGCTTAAATCAATCCAATTTCCAGCTGTTTTGCTGGTTTGCTTTCTGTACTATTTAATTACAGGAAACTGCTCATTTAACAATCAACTACCCTATTAAGTGCCTAGAAATCTGAAATTTGGCCAATTTTACACCATTTTCAATATCCCAATTTAAATGCAAAATCCAAAGCAAACATTGGAGGCATGCCAGCCACAAATGCAGCCTTCTTTATGGTCACTAATCATGTTCCCAAGCCTTTCCTATACAATACTTGCCCTTCTTTTTGAATACAACACACAAAAATATTATGTTTTCCTTATTTCTCAGCTAATAAACCATAACCAAGAATGCAAGTTTATGCTTTAGTAAAAGCCCATACAACAGACTGAGGGGGAGATGTTACTGGATTCCCTATCCTTCAACAGGATAATCATTGCCCTTGCCATTCACCAGGAAAATAAATATATAAATAATATATATATAATATATATATAATATATATATATACATATATAATATACCACACACACACACACACACACACACACACACACACACACACACACACAGTGGACCCCCACCTTACGATATTAATCCGTTCCTGAGAGCTTATTGTATACCGAAATTATTGCAAGGCGAGTTAACTTTCCCCATAAGAAATAATGGAAATCAAATTAATCCGTGCAAGACACCCCAAAGTATGAAAAAAAAATTTTACCACATGAAATATTAATTTTAATACACAAACTGAAGACATGCACAGTTAATACTCCACTATGAATAGAATACATGACATACCTTTATTGAAGATCTGATGATTGATGGGATGGGAAGAGGGGAGTGTGTGGAAGTTATTGTTTAGAAGGGGAATCCCCTTCCATTAGGTAGCAAATCCTTTTCCGGGGTTACTTCTTCTTTTAATGGCACTAGGACAAGCTTGAGAGTCACTGGACCTCTGTCGCACAACATATCTGTCCATAGAGCTCTGTACCTCTCGTTCCTTTATGATTTGTCTAAAGTGGTTCACAACATTGTCATTGTAATAGTCACCAGCACGGCTTGCAATAGCTGTCCGAGGGTGATTTTCATCCGTAAAGGTTTGCACTTCAAGCCACTTTGCACACATTTCCTTAATCTTTGAAGTAGACAACTTCAATTTCTCTATCCCCTCCTCCGGAGCAGTTTCCTCAGGTCTGGCCTCTTGCTGTTGAAGATGATCTTGCAGCTCATCAGTGGTTAAATCTTCATTGTCCTCCTCCTCCTCCTCCAACTCTTCCACATCCTCCCCAGTAACCTCCAACCCCAAGGACTTCCCCAATGCCACGATTGATTCCACAACTGGCATACGCTTCTCAGGGTTAGCCTCAAACCCTTCAAAATCCCTTTTGTCTACACATTCTGGCCACAGTTTCTTCCAAGCAGAGTTCAAGGTCCTCTTAGTCACTCCCTCCCAAGCCTTACCTATAAGGTTTACACAACTGATGATACTAAAGTGATCTTTCCAAAACTCTCTTAAGAGTCAATCGAGTGCCTGAGGTCACTTCAAAGCACTTTTGAAACATAGCTTTTGTATAGTATTTTGAAGTCTGAAATGACCTGATGGTCCATGGGCTGCAGGAGAGGAGTGGCATTAGGAGGCAAAAACTTGACCTTAATGAAGCTCTTGTCCCCAGAAAGTCTCTGCCAAGTCTGAAGGATGACCAGGAGCATTGTCTAATACCAGGAGGCACTTAAGGACCAATTTATTTTCCATTAGGTAATTTTTCAGTGGGGGCAAATGCATGGTGTAACCAGTCATAGAAAAAGTCCCTAGTGACCCATGCATTACTGTTTGCCCTCCACAGCACACACAAATTAGCCTTGAGGACATTGTTTTGCCTGAACGCTCTGGGAGTTTCAGAGTGATACACCAATAAAAGCTTCACTTTGCAATCACCACTATTATTATTATTATAATCAAAAAGAAGCGCTAAGCCACAAGGGCTATACAGCGCTGCAGGGTAGGGAAGGAAGCAAGGGAATTGGATGGCAGAAGGGAGGGGGGATGATCAGCAGGTTACAGAAAACAGCGGGGCAGGGGATAGTACGGGGGTAGAGGGTAGCAACAGATTGAAGTAGAAAGGGCTGAAGGTATCAGAATTTGTGAAGTAAGTCAGTTGTTGTCAAAAAGTCAATGAGAGAGTCCGGATGAAAGGTGGGTCCATCAGCGAGAAGTGAAGGTAAAGAGAGAGCAGCGGAGCGAAGACGACGACAGAGGTAAATTCTGCGTGCTCGTTGATAAAGTGGGCAGTCCAACAGAATGTGGCTGACTGATAATGGAGCTTGGCAATTCTCACAGAGGAGCAAGACGCCTCTCCATGAGATATCCATGAGTAAGACGAGTATGGCCAATGCGAAGATGGGAGAGAGTAGTCTCCCAACCTGGGACACTGGTGATAAGAAGACGGCCAGTAACCTATACTCGGTTTAATAGATTGAAGTTTGTTGCCGAGCATAGTAGACCAACGTTGTTGCCAACGGATGTGAAGTTGGGAAGATATTGCAGTAAAATAGTCCGTAAATGGAATACCTCTATAAGAAACTGGTAGGTCATGTACTGCTGACCGCGCAGCAGTGTCTGCCTGTTCATTGCCCTGTACGTCAACATGACCAGGGACCCAACAAAAAACAATATCTTTATGCTTGGTAAAGATGCGGCGTAGCCAAAGTTGGATATGGAGGACTAAGGGGTGAGGTGTATCAAATTTTTGTATACCCTGTAAAGCACTAAGGGAGTCTGAGACAACCACAAATGATGACACAGGCATAGATGCAATACGGATAAGTGCTGTAAGGATGGCATATAATTCAGCAGTAAAAATACTAGCCGAAGATAGTAAATGCCCTTGTACGACGCTGTCGGAAACACTGCTGCGAATCCTACGCCGTCAGAAGACTTAGAGCCATCTGTGTACACAGCAATGGCATGAGAATGAGAGTGAAAGTGGTCAAGAAAAGAGCGGGAAGCGACCGTAGACAGTTGGGCTTTTCGAGCAAGGGAGGGAGAAAGAACAGACTCGAACAGCTAGAACTTCCCAGGGGGTAGGGAAAAAGTGAGATGCTACATGTACATAGAAAGGTGGTAGTTGAAGAGAAGACAAGAGCGAATGAAGGCGAAGAGAGAAGGGACGGAGTAAACAGGGGCGGCGAACAAATAAAGAATGTCTACTAATATCAGTGACCATTCTATAAATGGAAGGATTGCGGAGATCATGAGAGCGTACATAGTAGCGCAGCCAACGGGCATCACGGCGATCGGATAAGGATGGAACGTTCGCTTCTGCATAGAGGCTCTCGACAGGGGAAGAGCGAAAAGCACCAAGGCATAAACGTAATCCTTGGTGATGAATGGGGTTAAGGCTAGAGAGAGTAGCAGGAGATGCCGCTGAATAAATCTGGTCACCATAATCAAGTTTCGATAAAATAAGGGTGGAATGTAGGCGAAGGAGGGTTCGACAATCAGCTCCCCATGAAAGATGAGCAAGGGTTTTAAGAAGGTTCAGCCAGCTGTGACAAGTTGCCTTCAGAGAGGTAATGTGAGGTTTCCAGGATAACCTACGATCAAAGAGGAGGCCCAGAAACTTGACTATCACGTTCAGGGATACGGGAGCCATAGAGGTACAAAAGGGTGATCGGAGATGACAGAGCGTCTAGTGAAAGTGATTTGGTGGGTTTTAGTGCTGGAAAATTTAAACCCACGTGTGGTGGCCCAATTGGAAACACGGTCGACTGCATGTTGGGAGAGAAACTGTAATGAGGTGACAGTCAGCGCCTGCACAGGCAATAGCGAAGTCATCAACATAGAGTGATGACCCCAAATATTGATGGAAGACTAGAGGCCAAATCATTAATAGCAAGGAGAAAAGTGTTGTGCTCAGAACACATCCCTGGGGGACACCTTCAGCTTGGATAAAGTCCGGGGAGAGAATCATTAACCCGAACACGGAAATGCCTGTCAGTTAAAAAGTTCTTAAGGAAGGATGGTAGATTGCCTCAAAGGCCTAAGGAGTGGGCTTGGGCTAAAATATTTTACCTCCAAGTTGTGTCATATGCCTTCTCAAGGTCAAAAAATATGGCAATAACTGAGTGGTTATTCGCAAAGGCATTACGAACATACGTATCCAAGCGTAGTAAGGGGTCTATGGTAGAACGTCCCTTACGAAA